GGAGCGGTAGTCCTAGGTGAAGGACCAAACAAAAGCAAAACAAATGATTAAAATTAAAAACTTTTATGAGCTAACCATAATAAAAATAGCATGCATGAATACATTGAAGACTTTACGAATGAAGATGGGACCACACATACATTATCTAGTCAATAATATCCATTCAAGTCCATCGTACCATTGTAACAAAACCATTCATAGCTTCTGTAATCTGTACTTGCTTGGCTCCTTTTCATTCAAGCTTTTACCGATCGATCGAGTCGGTTTAGAACGTATAAATTACAGAAAATTCACGTGAAAACTAAGTCCAAAGCTAAGAAGGAAGTTCCAAAACCACTCAAACTTTTGATTACCAAACACTCAACTTCAGCGTTTTCCATGGCTCCAAACAAAGCCTTAAGATACGGATGATGTTATAAAAAGTAATTATTACAAAGCAGCCTTAATCTATTGATGATGTTATAAAAAATAATTATTACAAACCCGTAAGTTATTGATGGTGTTATAAAAAGTAATTATTACAAAGCCTTAAGCTATTGATGATGCTATAAAAAATAATTATTACAAAGCCTTAAGGAATTGATGGTGTTATAAAACTAATTATTACAAAGCCTTAAGCTATAGATGATGTTATAAAAAGTAATTATTACAAAGCCTTAAGGTATTGATGATGTTATAAAACTAATTATTACAAAGCCTTGCGTTGTTGATGATGTTATAAAAAGTAATTATTATATTGTATTTTCTAACACAAATTAGAAACATTTGGAACTCATGATATATCTTGAACTATACATTAAACTATAAAGATAGTAAGATTTAAATTCATGATATGATCATGTCAAATAAAAAATTATTTGATCATCTAAAAAAATTAAACAAGAATGAACATGGCACATCACTTAATATATATATATATATATATCCTTAGCGCATTACTCTTTCTAACTAAGCCTTGGATGGTAATTGATCCTTTGCAATAATTGATTTAATGTCATCATCCATGATGCTAAAGTAAACTTTCTAAGTCCTTAATTAGTGGCCTTTATGGAGAGTAAAAAATCATTCCTAGTTAATCAACATTGGACTTATCAGTACCCTCTATTGACTCTTTTAGATTTTGATAATAATTGCGTTTGAGTTTGTTGACTACAAAACGTGTTCGCTTATACACATGTACTTGAAGGAAATACGCAATCAATCCAAAGTTATATATTTATTAAATTAAGAAATATTAACTTGAACAATAATTTAATTCTGAAAAGAAAATGCTATGCATATAAATACATCATATTAGAATTTCACAAAAATAAATGTAGTAAGTGATAAATTGATGAGTTAATTATAAGTCCCATAAATATTAAAACAGTGGTTAAACATATAGAAAATATAGTCGTCTCGTAGGTTTGTACGACAATGTTGTACAATTTTTTTTTATTATTTTTTGACTCTTATTAACTTGTGTAGCTTGTTTGTATATATAGCATTGCTCGTTGTGAAATGATATATTAGATTACAGTCTTATCCAAATTGCATGAATGCCTTGATCAGTTTGCTTTGGAGGAAATTAAAGCATGATTAAATGCAATATTCCTATTTAAATTCTGACATTGGGATAGGGACGTGATGGTTGATTTACTTTTGCTGATGGCTACAAACATATATATAACTCGTCATGGATATGAGCACATGGTTTTAAATTAATATAATTTTTTTCTGGCTTGATGCAAAGTCTTTTGAAAAAACCAAATTAAAATCTTCACAATGTAAATACATATAGTTTTCACAGCTTATCTTATCCTTGTCCATGTGTATCGCAAATTCTAATTAATTCCTATGCTTTTCTTTTTAAAAAATAATCAAGAACATCCTTTCTGTGTAATCATGAAACTAAGTTTATTTCTCTTATTTAGGTTGTTTCTATGCAAGAATAAGGCAACTTAGAATTAAAAGAAGTACAATCTTACGGGGTTGACTTGATGGTTGAGAAAATTTGTTCTTCACTTTTTGAATTCAAATCTTGGAATTTGTATCTATGAAAATTTTAAAATTTTTCTGAATGTACTAAGATGCTGTAGAGGGAGCATCTTTAAAAGAAACTCAATTTTTATTGACATATAAATTGGTTTAAAAAACATCCTTATTATTGAGAAAAAAAATAACGTTAAAGCAAGTATTAAATATGCTAGAGGTACCATGATTATTTTTATTATTAATCAACATTTGAAAATCATCAAATCACTGATTAACTATCTATGATCTGCAATTAATTAGATACTAGTATATTGACAGCACGTACGAGTAACCAAGTAATTGCCACAAGATTAGTTGAGTTCCTTAAGAGGAATTGTACATTCTTATTAAACTAGCGCTGAAGAATGAGTACTAAAGCAAATGTTGCTAGCAATTTCCATTTAAACATTTAATAAAAGTATTAATATTGTTATACATTTAAGAAAAAAAATCCTTATTCAACAGCCTCTTTTTTTTATGTAAAACTTTCCATTGAGCTACCGAAATTCACCTACTATCTATCTATAAGCAGCCACAGGTATAAATTGGAGAAGTCTAGTGCCAAATTGAAGTCGAAATGAATGAAAACATAGATAACCACCAACAGTAGTTGGGAGGCGAAAGCAACGTTGCAGCATGGGCAGAAAGTAAACCTAAACGAACCGCAGAATTAAAAAGATGGAAAAATCCAAGAAAAACCTGTAATAATTGATAGCTTCTGTTCCAAATTCCAATGATGATTCTAATAAAGGATCAGTATTACGTCACCTTTTAAAGAAAAGAAAAAAACAGAGATAAAAAAAAAAACACGATTCTTAAGTTCTTGGGATTTATTTATTTATTTTTGGAACAAAATTGCATGGGATCGAGCTGCATGCAGGAATTTGTATTAAAAATTGAACTATCTCAATTATGAATGGCAAAATGTTCAAAGAACCATGCAATAATTTGCATGGGATGATGTGATATTGGCTAAATTGCAGCAAATTACAACCATCACATGTAATATATATATGTGAGTGTGAAACTTTGACTATAATCACATGAACGTACCTTCTGCATTGAAAATATGTTTGAACTATTATAGCCATGCCAAAAAAGTTGTTAACATTATTGTTAAGTTGCAGAACTGATTTAAATGTAAGTAATAATTTAGAATAGAAATTAAGAAGGCAGCGTCCCTTATAGGAACTTAGCAAAAGAGCTTCTAAACTATTTATAGAACATTAGATTGGGTGAATAGGTTTGTAAGATTTTTTTTATTATAATTTTAATTATCTAAAGTATAAATTGAAATAATATCATTTGTATTTATAAGTCATTATTTGATAAAATTTTAATAAAAAATTATAGCAATTGAATAAATATAATTATCGAAATACATAAATTTTTATATTGTATAATTATTTATATATATATATAATCCATTTCCTAACAATTATTGCAAGACAAGATCGAGATCATATTCCATACTCATGCTCTCAATTGCCTGTTTTGTCACATTCAACTGTCGCGTGACCAAAAAATTTCTTTTTTCTTACATTTCTGCCCAATAAATTAGGAGGACGGATCAACTTATATATCAAATCGAAATTATTATTATAAATATTTTGAACTCAAAATTTTGATTTGGCAACAAGATTGCTGCTTTAACTTTTTATAAATCAATGTCATTATAAAGAAATTTCTAACCCGTTGCATTAGCGACCCCTTGAGCGTATTTCATAAAAGATCATTGCCTAATGTAAGGTAATTAACATATCAACCAAAATACTCCATCATTCTTGTAAATAGCAAAATTATATAACAAGTAATTGAATTGCAAGTTATAAAACAATTTTAAAAATATAGTAAAACATTAATTTAATGTGTGGTAGTTTTTTAAACACTTCTATATCACACATGTATACTTTTATTAATTAGAATTTAGAAGGCTAACTAAAGATTAAAGAATTAAACTTAAAATGATTGTTATGAGTAAAAAGCTATGATCGTTTAAATAAATGATCTCCGATTCGAGTATATATATATATATATATATATATATATATATATATATATATATATGTAAAAAAAAAAAAAATTGGTTAGATATAGATATTTAATGGATCTTAAATACCAAAAAAAAAAAAAAAAAAAAAGAGGATTAGGGATTACCGTAACAAATTCATATCGATTGGATTCATTATTGGCCGTTGAACCACCCTCAAGACCAGTTCCAGTTAGTCAATAAAGTGTGGCAGTGATGTTGACCTTGTAGTCAGTTTTGATCCAATCCACGGTCAAGTTGTCAACGTATTCATAGAACCAGAATAAACAAACGAACAGGCTTGGATGGGAAAAGCAGAGGCACAAGCCAATGTACTGACAAAAAAGAAAGGAGAGGAAAGGAACGACCCTAAGCCAAGAGAGCAAGCCAAGCGCTAGCCGAAAGTTCAGAGCCAGTGACAGCCAAGTCATGTAAATCCACTAGCCAAGCCTTATTCAATATACCAACCAAGTGTAACTGTCAATCAAATAAAGAAAAACTACCATAATGTAATAACTTATATTTACGAACGAAATGACAAACGGCCCATTGGAAAATGATTTAATTGAAACCCCTAGAATTGAGATTTAAATGCTCGGAAGGGCAAATCTTGAGGCCCCCTCCGACCACATTGTCTCAATTTCCACTGCTCCATATCCCTTGTAACATGGAGGAAATTATGGCAGCTTTCCTTACTCTTAGCTAAACCAACCATAAAAGCTCTCACATAACACCAAATACACACTTAGTTCCTGCACCAAATAAAGCCATCAATCACAAAGAAAGAAAAGAAACCCACTTTCTCTATTATCATTGTAATCATATCAAAGCACCTATAATTATACACCTGCATAGTACTTTTGCCCCCCATCACTTTACTTGAAACAACTTCTATTTATCGTTACAAAACCTCTTCAAGCTAAGAAAATTGTGAAGAGGGAAAAAGAGAAGGATAAATATGGAGATTGAATCAGCCAAGTGTGAGTGTTGTGGACTGAAAGAGGATTGCACCCAAGAATATATTAGTGAAGTGAAGGCCAAATTTGATGGCAAGTGGTTATGTGGATTGTGCTCAGAAGCTGTTAGAGATGAAGTTAGCAGAGGTACAAGGCAATTTGGAATGGAAGAAGCTGTGAGAGCTCACATGTCATTTTGTGGTAAATTCAATTCAAATCCAGCAGTTAGAGTTGCTGATGGTATGAGGCAGATGCTGAGAAGACGGTCAGGAGACTTGTCTTCATCAAAATCTTCTTCTAAGAAGTATTCAAGGTCGACCAGCACAAAACTGTACTAGATGATCAGGAAAAAAAAATGGAAAATTAAGGAGAGGACTCTTCCTTGCAAAAATAATATTGATAGCTAGTCTTTCGTGGCTCAGTTTCAACTTGTCTTGTGCAGGAGATTTTCCCTCAAATGAGGCTTCTTCTTAGTTTTACTTTTCACTTGATCTTTGCTATGCTGTTCATCTCTTTTTCTTGGCTAAGGAGCAAGGAGACAAAAATTTTGAAGCGAACACCCAAAGCTCATATTAATTGATCATGTGGTATGAAAGAATTCAACCTTTTTCCTTCCTCAACTTTGCATTACCTCTAGTTTTGAGACTGGGTTAGAGTTCATCTAGGTTTTTTTTTTTTTTTTTCTCCTGCCTATATCTTTATCACCCCATCCTTAAGCCATTCAGAAACTTACCAACCATAGCTAGGCACTAGTCGTGCCTGAAAAAAGGGTTTGAGATTTCATTTTGTTCACCCTTTCGCTTGACTCTGATCAAAATTTTGTTCCATATTAATGAAACGCAATTAGATATTTTCTTCTTCAAATATTGAAAACTATATTGCCCAAAACTCATTTGGTGACACCACCAATATTTTAAGCTGAGCGATTCATAGGAACAAACAAAAAAATAAAATAAAAAATCCACCGTTATCTGAAATGGCATAAACAAAAGTACTTTGGTTTCTTGATGCCACAGATATTTTTTCCTACCTGGCTCTGTTGGCTTTTAAAAACCAAGAAATCATGAACAAATCTCGACTTTTTCATACAGAAGTATGGGTCAACTTCCACTACCTGTTTCTGATGAGGAAGTTTTTTTAAAAATAAATAAAAAAGGTGGCACACTACCAATTATAATTATTTGTAATATATTAATTACTCTAAAAAAAATAAAAAAAGGTACTGTTTCAACATCATGCATCAGCCTTCAATTATTTAAGATAGAGTCTAATTTATTCCACAATAAATAGTAGTTGAAGTAACTCTACCAAAGATATCCGACATGTTCATTGCTCCGGAAATGACATGACTTGGCAGGTCCAACAAGCTTTTTGATGAATCAAAGTATGATAATTGAATTTGGTAATGCGCAATCTAATTTGGTCCTAAGTAGGCCCTTTAACATGGGTTAATCAAACTTAACTACTAATTCTTGTGAGGGGAATAAAGTAGTGGGTCCCCACATAATCAAACAGACACTCATGCATGACATGTAACATCAATGTTTCACATGTTCAATAAATGTTGTATTCCCCAGGAAATCTTCAATTCCAACAGTCCAACACACCTCATCAATAATTAGTTTTCCTTTAAACATATGAATGGGAGTCTATCCTAAGCAAGAGCACCCTCTAGTGGAGGAGAGGAAAGACCAGACCAATTATGTACGTAAGTAAATCATGTTCCATGTGATTGTTTATAAGTATGAATTTTCGTAATCGACAAGTCAACATTCGGTCGATCGCTTTCAATAACAGGTGTTTGCTTTATATTAACCCGCACCAATTATGCTTGTAATGGTTTGGCGTCTGGAATTGGATTCCAGAACCTATACGAGGCAGCGCCCAAAAAGGTTGTTTCGTTTCCTTACATTATGAGATGCCTGCTTGCCAAGGAATCAGAACCTTTTTTTTTTTTTTTTTTTGGCCTACTAAAAAAGCAGGCAGATGTGCATATGCAGATATGCTCGTTATACATATGCTATATGTTTGTAAGATTCACCACAAATGAAGGTAGTAATGAAATGATAAAATTATGTGTTTTGAAAGCATCAAGTTGGAGGTTGGATTTTTAGCACACACATATATATATATAATGGACTTAAAATTTTTAGAATGATTTAAAATTAAAAATAATTTAACACTGATATAATCCAAAAACATACAAAAAAACAAACTGGTCTAAAAATATTTCACGGTCAGTGAGAACGTGTGTGGGTATGATTCTAGCTAGAGACAGGACAAGGAACGGAAAAGATGAGTGTCCCAATCCATTAAATGGGGTGTGTTGAGTCACCTTAAGAAAGGTTGACTCCTAAGCCCACTTTACGAGTTTACGGTGGCCCTTCATTTTTGTACTGAAACAAAGCAGATTATCCCTTTGAAAAATGTACTTTTTGTTTTTTGAGAGATGGTTGGATTCTATTTTATCAAAATCGAATTGCAGGATAAACCGGCAGGGTTCTGGTTTATCTGTTCATTAATTCAACTTGGGAATTATTCGTTCAACTACTGGTTCACTCAGAAGTTGAGCTAGCATATATATATTTTTTTTAAAAAAAAGATAACCATATGTAATTTTAATGTGTTTATTAGATTTTGCCCCATATATATATATATATATATATATATATATATATATATATATATATATATTGTGCTTTTTCATTATTACATCACCTCTTCTTTCTTTGCTTATGCGTTGCTCGTTGAATCTTCTAATTATAATAATAATTATTATAATTATAATATAACTAAAAAAAACGAGGCAAATGAACAGTAAAATATTATTTATTTGCCTTAATCCATTATTCATTGTATGACATTTTTATAATTTTTTATAGTTTTTTTTGCATTCATTTTTAAATTTTACACTTCATTCTTTTTTGGCCCCTTATGTTTTTAAAATATATTTTTAAATCCTCATATTTTTAAAAATATTTTGACATCTCATGTTTTTAACTTAATCCATTTTTTTCTAATATTTTTTCAGCATATATGTTTTGTTCCTCATATTTTTAAAATATGTTTTTGGTTTCTTATGTTTTTAAATTTTAGAATAAACATATATATTGGATTATATTTTTTATTGATTAAAATTAATCTCTTAAATTTCTCGTTTATTATAAAAATTCTCATCAAATTAAATTTCTAATTTTTTATAAAATTTTATTTGTTAATAAATATAATTTATCTTTCTCTCGTGTATGAATTTTTAATATGTTTTTTTTTTTAATAAATAATAGAATTCACGTGTTTCTTTAACTTATTCTTGACATAATCAATTTTTTTTGGAATTAAATTTTAAATTATTTTTATTATATTCTATTAACTTTAATATATTTCTAACAACTTAAGTTTTTTTTAACGTATTTTTTAATTTATACGTAAATGGTAATGATGTATACAAAAAAGTATTGAGATAATTGATTTTATTAAAAATTAATTTTGCATTTACACATATAATACTAGCTATTTCCTATTATTTATTTTTAATATTTTAAATTTAATTTATTTTAAATAAAATCATATTTTAAAGGAACCATCTAATAATTCAAATACATGTTTTTATACCTAGTATTATTGATTGTCTTTTGTGTGTGTGTGTGTGTGTCAAATGTGCATATTTTTAAAAAGTTTTAAAAAATTCATTAGTTAATTTTTATATGAATTTTTATATATTGCTGATATATTTCTTTGATATTGCCTCATCAAAAAAATATTAAGATATTTTTAAAAAATTTATATTTATATTATTGTATGTTTTTATTTAAAAATGAGTGAATAGAAAAAAATGAATTGTGTTTTTTTAACAACAAACTCTATGAAAAACACAAAGAAGCACGAATGAAATACAAAATTTGATTAAAAATTATAAAATAAAATAAAATTTTTATCTTTTTATTTTTAATTTAATATATATTAGTAAGAAAAAATTAAAAGAACTGAGATATTTATTATTTTTTTAGACTTAGATTCACTATTCGTTATGTTACTTGATTTTTGTTTCTACCTTTTCGTTAATTTCTCTTTTGATACTCGATAGATTTGAGAAACTTCATTTTTCCCCGATCGATTCTTTTTCTAATTTTATTTTTGGGTCTTTTTTATCATTTCTTCCTCTTTTTTTTTTTTTTTCAGATTGAGCATTTAATGCTCCTCGTCTTCTTTTAGTTTTTTTTTTTTTTTTGCAACGGAGAAGCCAAAGTCACTTGTTATTCAAGATTGATTATAAATGCGTGCCTCTTTCTTCGAGAAACAAATTGATTAGTCCATGTGGTTCAAATTTTTTTTTTTTTTTTACTTTTTTGCTATTTCAATGTTTTTGTTTTTTGTTTTAAAAAATATAGAAATAATAAAAAAAAATAAGTAAAAAGAAGAAAAAGAAGACATTTTACAGAATAAAAAATAAATTATTCATGGTCAACATTGATTAAAAAATTATATAATTTATTTTTGAAACCAAAAGAATTAACTAATTCATTTCTCAAAATGAGATGAAGCAATTTATAATTTAATTTGTTGTCCAAGAATCTCTTTATCATGGATTAAGAAGTAAAATTTATAGAAACTAATTTTGTAGTAGTTTTATTTCAATTTATTGAGTTTAATATATTCCATACAACTTAAATATTTTTTTAATGTTTGTTTATATATATCTATCATTAGTTTTATTGGAAATTAATTATGTATTTGCTTGTGCAACACCATTAGCCCCTCTCGGTTTAAAAACTATTTTTTTGTCCTTTTTATTTTTTGTTTTAAGAAATAGAGAAAGAAAAAATATGGAAAAATGTATTTTTTAAAATAAAAATAAATTATTTTTGGTCAACACTAATTAGAAAAATTAAATAATTTACTTTTCAAATCAAAATAATTAATTCATTCTTTTTTCAAAACAAGAAGAACTAATCTATACTTTAATTTGCAATTCAAGAATCTCTTTCATCATAAATTACAAAGTAAAATTTATGGAAACCAATTTTGTAATAGTTTTTATTTCAATTTATTAGCTTTAATATATTCCATACAACTTAGATAGTTATATATATATATATTTATTTATATCATTAGTTTAGTTGAAAATTAATTATGTATCTAAATACATAACACCATTCGTACCTTCGGTTCAAAAACTAATTTTTTTATCCTCTTTGCTATTTCAATGTTTTTGTTTTTTGTTTTAAGAAATAGAGAAAGAAAAAAAATAAGTAAAAGTATGAGAAATTTTTTTAAATAAATAATAAATTATTCATGGTCAACATTGATTAAAAAAATTAAATAATTTATTTTTGAAACCAAAAGAATTAATTAATTAATTTTTCAAAATGAGATAAACTAATTTATAATTTAATTTGCAATTCAAAAATCTCTTTCATCATAAATTAAGAAGTAAAATTTATGGAAACCAATTTTGTAATGGTTTTTATTTTAATTTATTGACTTTTGTAATGGTTTTGTTGAAAATTAATTATGTATCTACATACATAACACTAATTATTTGTTATTTATTCTTTTTTAGGTTTTAAAATCAATATTTTTTTAAAAAAATAATTGAAATATATATCATTAGTTTTGTTAAAAATTAATTATGTATCCGCACACATAACACTAATTATTTGTTATTTATTCTTTTTTATATTCTAAAATCAATATTTTTTAAATAAAATAATTGAAATAATATTTTAAAAGAACTTTTCAATCATTTAAATACAATTTTTTATGATAATATTATTGATTATTTTATTAATAAATATATATAAATCAAACGATTTTTCTCGGTAAATAAATTTGATTTATATTAATTACGAGAAATAAGATTTTTATCCGTACTATACCATACAAATCGTTGACTTTACGTATATAACGAGTTGTATGACCACAGCGTAGCGCAGGTATCCAACTAGTATGTACTATTATTTAATACTTTGCTTTATATTTAATTTTGATAGGTGTGGTTAATGCATTTAGTTTTCAACTTTCTATGAAACAATTTTAAAAAATCGCTTTTACGATTTTAAAAATTACTGATGCAATCAATCCATATTTATTTATTTATTTTAAACTCCATACAAAACAAAATGTTCGATTCAATTTTTCCTCAAAAAGATGCTTCTCTGGAACATAACCATAAGCTGATATTTCTTAAGACTAGCAGATTTAGTCGAACTTCACCATCGGCATCATTAGTGGGATGTGCTTTGAACCTCCAAATTCTTTGACTTTAGGCTATGATGAGACCTATGGTTTACACCAATTAAGAGTTGAGGCCCCAAGGGGCTAAGTAATTCACAAGCCCTAGCTGCGAACTCTTTCTTTTAGAACCACAAAATCCACCCAATGTTTGGGCCAAGAACTAAGGTCGAGGATGGATCATACCTCCTGCGGTCCATCATTTAGCACATTTGGTGAATGTCATCTCTTGGCATGGCATTTGGCCGACTCGAAAAAATATATCCAACATTGTTGCAGTAAACTATAAATTAGTCTCTGAGACAGTTAAGAATTAAATAATCCTTCTTATTTAAAAAATTAATAAATTAATCATTTCATCAGAATCATGATTAATTTAATATTATTTGTTCTAAACAATATTTTTTTCTCCAATCTATTTTTTCAAATTTTTTTTTCATTTTTTATTTCTTAAAAAAATTGGAAAATAAGAAAAGAGATTAACTTACAAATAGATTTTAAATTATAGGAACTAATTTTTTAAAAAAAAACTAAAGGGGCTATTTAATATGTTTTGATAAACTAGAGTATCTAATTCATAATTTGCTCAATATTATAGTACCCCGACTATTGAGTGTAGAAACTTCTTTTTTCTTTGGTTACAAAGTCAATTTATCCAAAAAAAAAATTATGAGACTGTAAAATGATAAAATGTACGCAGGAAGAGAATGCTTGCTGCATCCATACTCATAACTGGTTAGGTTATTTATAGTTCATGAACTTTTCAGATTCCCAGCTCTGCACCTATTTGCTTCCTTTATTTTAGCTGTTATTTATGAATGTTGAAGAATTATAATTTTCGTAATTTACCAACCTAATTTCTACCCATGATTGCTTTATCTATTGTATGATAGCAAAAAATTATTCATATTCTTAACAAAAAAATTACTGTTTTCTCACAATTTGTATTGTGTTATTATCTCTCATTTATGCTGTGTTATTTTTTACTTTTAAGTCGAAACGTGATTATTTATTTATTGCTAACAATGGTATCAATACATTTTGTTTCTTGAAAAGAATAGAGGGTTTCTTAATTAAAAATAAATGATTTAAACGTGAAGTAAACTTATTAGGGCAAAATAAACTTTTTTTTTCTTTTTTTCTGGACATTATTGAAGAGCTGGACCAAATTACCATCCTGTAAATTAAAGAGAGGCAACATTGTGCTTGAGGTCGCAGCCCAGTGGTGAGGTTGAGGGTCGCTCACCGATGATACTCGGGTTCGATTCTCTCTGCGCACGTTTGTCACCCCCGCGGTGCCTTACCTACCCACTAGGCTTGTAGAGTGTTTGATGGGTCCAGGGATTAGTCGAGGTGCACGCAAGTTGCTCGGACACCCCGAGTTATAAAATAAAAAAAAGGGCAACATTTTGTTGTAACATATATCATACTGTCATCAGAACCTGATTTGTCAACTTTGCATTTTTTTTTACCTTTTCTCCACATCTTGATAGTAATTTTAAAAAAGTGCATATGATTGTGGGGAAAATAACAAAGATTGATTTAGCAACATTTATGTTGATTTTAGTATCTTTCTTTCTTTTTATTTTTTGACATACAAATTTGTCGACAACTTCAAACCTATTGATTAATAACTATAGAAAAAATCCTACAAATAAAAAATAATATTTTTACTAGATGTATGAAAACTTATATTCGTCAAATAAATATCACTTAAATTACCACTAGGATACTGTTAAAATTCACTAATTAAATTATTATTCTCACAACTTTTTTCTATATAATTACTAATACATTTTTCATTAGTTACTAATAATTATTATATAACATATATTAGTGGAGGATGTATTAATAATTTTTTTTTATAATAATGATGAAAATAATAATTTGGATAGTAAATTTAATAGAATCTTTACCATTATTGCTAATACCTTAATAAATATATAGTTCGATCGATAGATACAAAAACAAGAGAAGATAACAATAGTCATGCTCAGATATTTTCTTCCAATTATTAGAAATAAAGTAACAATTATTCTTCCTTCCATTCATCAAATAACTCTTTTTATCTTTGCTTTCTTTCTTCCTCCAGTAAAAAAAAAAAAAAAAAAAAGAAAAAAAGAAAAAGGGAAAGCTGTGAACATGCAGAAAACAAAAGAGAATGGGGCTATTTTAGTCATTTTGTAAAGCCTATGTCTCCCTTACATGACCGTTGGATTCAAATTTCAAACGGTCTCCTAATCTCCTCCTGGCTTAAAACTCTTCTCTTGACCCAAACAGAAGGTGAAACAATCAATCCAGCCATGAAAGCATACGGTGCAACAACATCAGTATCCTCTGCGAAATCAAGCGGTACCAACTCTAGCACCACGTCTATGGAAGAAAGAGATAGTTGCTACTTCCCTGGTTGCCAGAAAGATGCCAATTGCCACTGTGATATTTGCTTAGCTAGCATCAATGCTACCCTTGACCTCATGCCAGTCAGCATTCAAAAATCCTCTCTCACTAAGATTTCTTCTTCACAAGCCAACGTGGAATGCACTCCCCTGTCTTTTGATACTTCAGTTATCTCTACACCGAGATCAATTCCTTGTCCTAAAATGGAGTCTCCAGCGCTTAAATCAACAGCAAGATTGACTCCGAATCAAAAGAAAGAAAAGAAGAAGGAAGAGTGGTCTTCTGGTTTTTGGGGTGTTTTTTTTCGGCTGGTATTGGGATTAAGCTTGCTTTTTGGTGTAGCAGCTGGGTTTTCTTGGGGGATTTGCAGGGTTATTAGGCCTGTGTTTTCATCTGATATGGTTAGGAGTATTGGCGAGAGAGCTTGGGTTGTACAAGATTTGAATCGGAGGCTAAGGTTCTTGCAGAATGAATTGAAAGGTTTTGTTGCCAATGGGAAGGTTTCAAATTGCAGCTTAATGAATTCAACATGGGAAATCAATCAGGTTTCGTATGCCTAAATTCTTGAATTAATTTAGATTCGCTCAAATGTTGAAGTATTTTCCAATGCAATGATCTGATGAATAAATATGAACTGCAGGATGGGTTGCTTTTGAATTCACGGTGTGTCTTGTACAAGTCAGCAATAGAGGAGGTGAGCATATGGGGCTGGCCTTTGCAAACTGCAGGATTGCTCAAAACAGAATTTTCTTCACGTTCATTTACCGTGTTGTCAGGCAGAGTTACAGAGGTAAACCAGAATTTTGTTGCATGTGTATCTTCTCTAATCAGTATCAGTTTATGACAACTACGTCAGTAGATGGTTTACATTTCTTAATCAAATTCATCATTTTTATTTTTATTTTTATTGGGTCTTGTTTATTTCTGTTCAAAAGTGGTCTGACGGGAAGATTGGGTCCTCGATTCGAAAAGTCAACACTTCATGGGTTCACAGGAATTGGGCTGCCTCTGCTGTCCAATTAGATCCCAATACATGGATTCTGGAGTATGAGCGGAGCTTGATATTGGATAGCTCAACACTGGTTTCAGCAGTAGCAGAGATCTTCAAATACAGGATGTCAAGAGCTATGAAAAGTATGAATCCAGTATTCTGGTTGTTCTCTGATTTTGATCACCAATACAGTGTCTTTAGAGCAAAAGACCGTGCCAAGATCATCCCAACTTGAGAGAATATATAGTTAGAAGATGCAGTGCCCTGACTTCGTCCAGCAGAGTTCCAGTTCTCATTGCTTGTGAGAAGGGTTGCAGAAACCTATGGATATCAATCAAGGACCATTTTTCTTCTTCTAAGTTCCTTGCTGTGTTTTGGCTTGAATCATAATTTCATTTCCTTGGCGCATAGTTCAATTTGGATACTCTAGGATGACAAAAGTTTCAATTCTGATATTCTTAATTTGAATTGTACATGCTGAACTGATACATTATTACAACATGACCTATGTTTCTACTTTGGATGCTGAAATGGAAATCTCTTAACTGATATTGGATTTTACTCCCTTCTACTCCGTTTTTTCATATATTGTAATGGTAAAAAAGCTTTCGGGGGGTGCGTTGGATGTAGTCCGAGGTTGAGCGTCTCTTTTTTGTACTCCCCCAACACACCACCGCCTCTCTCTTAAGGAGTACTATTGCACCCAGCGGATTCACAGGAACAGAGCATGTATGAACAAGCACCATTGGATCTTCAACTTTTTGGTTCCATAATTGTAGTGTAGATTATCTCCATTAGGAACAATTTCTATACATTTCACGATATTTTATCGTTTACATAAACTTTAACTGTAGAGTTACACATTGGTGAAAACAAAATCACCAATAGTCGTTACAAGAGCACACTCCACCTTTGTAATGGTGAAACCGAGTCCTGTCTCTAACAATAATCTCCATCCCATAAACCTTCGACACCAACTTAATAAAGGTATGGCAGTCTGCACAAACTCTGAGATTCTTAACTATTCGGATGCATGACCCTTTTCCCTCACTCATCAGCCCATAACAGAGGGCCAGTTTCTCACTATGCCATAAAACCACTTCCTTCTTTCCTTTCTCTTCTAAATCAACCAACACACCACTAGTGTTAGGAGTATAGCCAACTAGCTTCAGCTCCTTAACCACCTCAGCCAGCTTCTCATAGATTTTATCTGCTTGCTTATGCTTCCTATCTGCCATTACGAACTCGTGTACTCCATTGTTCAATTCTATCCTACTACATCCACGTTCTTTAGATATTCCTCTTTGTTTCATCAAGTTCCTTATCTCCCCTACATCTTGCCACCTTCCTTCTTTGGCATAAATGTTAGATAATTGCACAAGGGCTCCATCATGGTCTGGCTCCAGCTCGAGAACCTGCTTGGCAGCAAATTCTCCTAACTCAGTCTCTCCATGAACTTGACAAGCAGCCATTAGGGATCCCCAAATGACAACATTAGGAGCCACAGGCATTGTCTCCACAAGATTGAGAGCATCTATCAGCAGTTTACCTCGACCAAATAGATCTACCATGCAACCATAGTGCTCGTGTTTAGGAGTGATGTTGTGTTCATTTATCATTGATGCAAAGATTCTCCTGCCCTCCTCAACTAGCCCTGCATGACTACAAGCATAAAGCACACCAACAAATGTCACCCCATTTGGCTTGATGTTTTCATCTTTCATTTGATAGAAGAATTTAAGAGCATTACTGGCATCCCCATGGATAGCAAAAGCATTAATCATACTTGTCCAAGATATCACATTTCTGCTTGGCATCTTCTCAAAAACTCTTCTCGCTCCTCCCAAATTCCCACATTTGGCATACATATCAATAAGGGCATTGCTGATGGGCAAAACTCCTCCAAACCCATTCTTGTCAACATACATATGAATCCATTTAGCTCGATCTAGAACACCAAGATGAGCACAAGCTGAAATTACACTCAGTATATTAACTTGATCAGGTTTGATTCCCAAAACTTGCATTTCACTAAATAAATTAAGAGCTTGCTGAGGCTCATCACTCTCAGCATAACCAGAGATCATTGCGCTCCAACAAACCAAATCCTTTTCATCCATTTGGTCAAAAATCAAGCGAGCATCTTCAACTCTACCAACTCTCGAATAACCAGAAACCATGGCTGTTAAAACAACTAAGTTCCTCGATGAGTTCTTAGTAAACAATTCTTGAGCCATATCCATACAGCCACAGCTTGCATACATGGTAACAAGCGAGCTCTGTAAATAAGTATCAAGCACAACATTAGTTTCGATAATGAAATCATGTATTGCTTTTCCATAACTTAAATTTCTGGCTCGACCACATGCCGATATTATGGTTGACAGAATCATTTCATCTGGCTTCAAATTGGAACTCCTCATCTCTTCAAAAAGCCGCAACACATCATCATAAAGTCCACTTTGATAATACCTGTTAATAAATTAACATCAATAAGAAAAAATCTAATTCAACAACCGAAAGGAATAAACTTCAGTTTAAATATCCGTACCCATCAATCATAATACTCCAAGCAACAACATCCCTATAAGACATTTTATCAAACACGAATCTCGCATCCAAAATCCGGTCACAAGCAGCGTACATACCTACCAAGCCCGTTTGCACAAACGGGTCTTTATCAAAACCCAATTTAGCCGCAACCCCATGAATCTCCTTCCCTTCATTTAATCCAGAAGCTCTGGAAGCTGCTTTTAGCAATGGAGGAAAGCTAAACCTGTCAATACCGAGCAAGCCTTCCTTCAACCTTATTTTCTCATATGCTAAAAGAGCAGTTTCAGGTTTGGCGCTGCGAGATAAAGAACGGAACAGTTTGTTGGAGAGAGGAGTGTGACATGTGGGGAGGTGTGTGAAGACGGAGAGGGCGTAGTCGAGGGAAGAAGACGAGAAGGGAGGAGAGGAGAGAAGGAGTTTGAGGAGGAGGGAAGGATGGAGGTTAGAGCGGAGGACTTGAGCGTGGATTTGTTTGAGGTGGGAAAGGGAGGTGGAGGAGGAGAGGACTGTGTGTAGAGTGGTGGAATTGAGTGGGACAGGCACTGTGGTAGGTGTGGTCACGGCGGACATTTTCTTTTGGTTGGAGAGGGGCGGGAAGGATAGAGTTCTTGTATATTACGTTTGGGCTGATTGGAATAATAATATTTTTGGCTAATTATTATGTCAAACTTTGTAACTGGGCTCGCTGTAATTTGGGCCCAGGGCCTCGTAGTTTTTCAGACCTCTTCCAATTTGAAAGATCTTCCGTGTGTCAGTTAGCGTTAGTCATTTTAAGGGTTGCAGACAGCAGTGGCATTTTGTGTGCAATTAAATTAAAAAAAGAAGAGATCAAAGGAAGAATTTAGAGGAAATGGGTGAAGCATTATTTGATCTTGAACAAGTCCTCAAGTCCCAAAAGGTGATTAAATCTCTCTTTCCCTTCTAAGCCTCTTTTATCTTCTCGAATACAAATGGGTTTTTTATTTTTGCTCATTCATTTGTGACTAAGGGAAGTGATCGAACTCCTTAAATCTCAATCCTTTTCCAGCTTTTAGTTTTGCTAATTTTGTTCCTTTCGTAATTGTGAAACCTCTTGAATTTATTTTTCTTAGACCTAAATTTGACTAGCATTCCATTTTAGGCTTGAGCCTTTTCTTTTGTGTAAAGTGAATTGCTTGATATACGTAATATTGCTTTCCTTTTTCAGTGTTTCTAACGTGAAAAGAAATAGTGGCTTTTAAAAAATGGAAATAGAATCTATTTCTACTCGTTTGTAGACTAAATAAATGGTTTTTTTTTTTTTTTTTTTTTTGCTTAATTCCTGTAGGAGACATTGACACCTGAAGAAGCGAACATACTTCATACATGCAAATCTAAGGCTGTTAGACAATTTACATTTGGTGTTCTTACCGGTGGCACTGTTGCTTGGGCAGGTATGTCTTTTGATTCTTTTTTATGCACATGGATATGAACAATCAGCACACCATTGGGTTCAAGACAGAACATCATGCGTGTCTGTATTTCTTCTGCGGGTTTTCATTCTCCTGCTGTTAATGTTATTTTTTTACTTGGTAATCTGAAATCATTGCTGCCAACAGAGTCATTTAGTCTACTACTACTGCTTATTTGATCATTTTGACAGCAACATGGAAGCTAAGTCAGTTTGCTCGAGCCAACATTTCAGGAGGTAATGTAGACGAACACCTTAGACTAGTGTCTTGTTGTTGTTGTTATTGCCGGTTTCCATGACCACTCCTTCATTTGTGTAGACAAAAATCTATAAGATTTATCTTATTCACAGGAGCTGCTGGTTTATTTGGATTCTGGAGATTTGCTAAGTCCTTAGACTCCTGTGTTGATCATATTCTTGCTATGGATGGAAGTCGGATGCAGAAGGAGTTAGCAAATATGTAGGTCTCCTCACCTTGCATATTTGCAGTGAACTTTTTAGTTTTTTCTGCAATGAGTTAGAGTATATTGATGTTTTATTATTTGAACGAATTGGCACGTTGTCAAGCCAAAATTGGCTCCCAATGTTCTTTATTATTTGCATAGTATTTTGGTTTATGTGTCTGGTGACGCTAGTCACATTCTGAATGTCCTGCAACTTACAAGATTGAGATTGATAATCAAGTGAAGAGGAAAATCTTGTCATTGACTGAATTTAAACTGTTCTGAAAACTGACAAGTTAACATTGTTAAATAACTCTTTAACCTCAGTGTGTCCGAAATTATAGCTTTGGCAGCCACTACTACTGATACGATTGCTGAGGTGCTTTTGGCCCATTAGTTTAGAAGTATATATGGTTATTTTTTCCTAACAGTTTTATGAGTTAATCAGCTTGGCTTGGCCTATATGCTGTCTGAATCCTTACTAGCATTCCTAAGATAAGTATGTGCCACATAAATGGTAGTTCTCTAGCCATGTTGGATCTCCTATCAAATGCTGAGTACTGTCTGTTCTAATATAACTAATGTCTCATATAGTTATCTTTCTCTGTCAAACATTTCTTTCTTGTCCTGTCTATTTCCAATTTTTTCCCTTATATTTCATTTTCTCAACATCTGTGTTTAATTGCTTGAGGAAGCATCATCTATTGATTAGTGATGAATAATAGTATATCTCATGACAGAATGGCAAATAAATATCAAGATGATCCTTGGAAAATGCAACCTTTGAATAGGCGTTTCTATGCAGAGAAAGTATTTGATGACTCAAACTTAGATAGGCCAATAATAAGGCTTCGATATCGAAATTACTTTGGTGATAATGTTGCATCTGGTCAAAGGACGCATGACAGTGATTCTCACGATGTCTCCAACAGTGACTCTGATATGAAAAGGGCTGATGTGGAATCCAAGAAAGTTCCTGTAAGTGCTGACCAAATATTCCTATTTGAACATAGGCATGACTACTTTACTGGCCTTTGCAGTCATAATAAAGTCAAGCATGAACATGCAAATAGTGGATTTAATTACAGACAAACACGCTCCTAATGTTGCAGCTAGGAATGTCATAAATTGATTTTCATTGTTTTGATTTTGGTCCTCACATGCAATCTTAGTGATACTTGGACAATTTTTTTTTTTTTTTTTCATACATTTGATGTAGCAGGCCATTCAGCTTAATGTGTAAAGAATATAAAACCTTTAAAAAGAAAAAAAAATCATATATAAAACAAATTTTTTTCCATGTTATGAACTGATTTATGAAGCCTTACCTATTTGGAATTTGTTAGGGAACTTTCTTTTTTATTCCATCAATATACTGAAGGCAGAAACATCTAGAAGTAGAAAATCTGCACCATGCGGAACAATTAATTTCCATTGGATATCTGATGAATCATTTAGATGCTTCTTCATTCACATTACGTGTCTGGTAATGTAATTGATGGGTGGAGTAACTCATAGTTGGCGTGGATTTCTTGAGCAAACAAAAAATTAGGCTGTTGCCTAGGCTTCTAGATACTCTAGCAGAAACTGTAGTGTGAGGATAGAGAGGACAGTCTTAGGGGGAAAGAGAATTAAAAATCCCAGTATTTCAGCATATCTGAAAATGAGACAAGCCAAGATGTTGTGGAGAAAACTGTGTGGTTAAGTGCATGTATAAGCACCCACCAGGCAAGACTTGGCATTTGGGCAAAATCTCAGAACCATAACTTTTCGATACAGAGCCATCCAGGGCTTCAGGCCTATAAGCAGATGCACTCCCATGGCAAAGGAGGTAACCTTCTCCTCGGGTTGGACTGATTGTCAGCAGTATCAGACACAAAAATACCAGATTTTCTACTCCTTCCATGAGTCAATACATTTTGTAGTTGGTCCATTGTTTACTGTAGTGAGCTTGCCTGCTTGAACAGGTGTGATTTAGAGTAAATTAGGCCTTGAAAATGCATTTCCAGGGTGTGGTGCAAGCTTGGGATGCATTAGTTGCTTGCCATGGATAAGAAAGTTGTCCTCAGGTAGTGTTGTGATGGAAGGACAGTTGCAAGTTGCAACTGTACCAATTGAAATTCTATCTGTATCAATTGAAATTTCTATGAACAAGCAATTGCATCTGCTACAGGCTATGAATTCAATACCTAACATTAACTTGATGTGAGGTAGCAGTAGCTTAAAGCATTTTTGTAATAGATGTTAGCTCCATTGATGATGAATCTGCTCCAAAATTAGTAACCAGTGAAAAAACGCAACCTCTACAACTGTATTCCGCATCCTTGATGAAGTTGCTCTTTTCTGATGTTTCAGTTGTGTCAAATTCATTTCCTTTCCTCTCTCACACATTGTTTTACGAAAAACTGGGGGAAAAAAATTCAAAAAAGGGGTGAGAGATACTGGTTGCCGTTGTGCTTCAATAAAAATGTCTATTCTACTTGAGAATATATTAAAATTCTTGTTTGAAGATTGTAATGATTTCTTAGTTATCACATCATCTAATCTTTTATCCTTCTGCTTTAGATGAACCTTGGTGCCAAAGTAATGGAAGACCCTCTAGAAAGTATTTTTGGTTTCATGGAACCTGTGGAGGAGATCCATCACCCTGGTGCCTCAGGGAAACCTGCCAGAGTTCTTAATCGTAGCCATAAAAGATCTCATCGTAGGCATCGGATGCGCCATCAAGAAGCCTCTTTGGACTCTGAACATTTGCGACCACAGCGGATTTAATATTGATGAATGATTTTGAGTAAACCAGAGAGAATGTCTGTTGAAGATTTGGAAGCCAAACCTTTGTTTGTATTATGCCATGCTGTTGAACTGGAATTGTCAGATAAGTTCTGTAAGCATCTTTCGTTTTACTCTGTGAGCAACTCTGGTGAGCATAAATGTCTATATGAGGTATGTTGCCATGAGTACTCTATTCTGGAGAGTAGATTGACATTAAGCATTGCACGTGCCTTAGCAGCACTGGTGTTGGAACTGATCATTTTCGATCAGTTGCCAAAGTTATGAATGTAAGGGGGCGTTATGATGGTTGAACGAGGAAAATGCATCTGTGCAGGTGGTGTTAGTAGCACATCGTTGAGATCATATTGACAATGTTTTTAATATGAGATGGAAACATATCTGCCTCAGGTGATGGCTAATTTTTAAGCCGGTTACCAAAAACATGCTCTTGCCGTTACTTGTATCAATAGTAGGAACAGAGATGTCAAACTTCAGAAACAGTAGACATGCACCCGGTGATGTGGCCTATTGTGCCTCAGCTCACATAATTGTAGAGTAGGTTTGCATCAGGTTTAAATCTAATCAAGTGAAAGGAAAAGACTCGAATTTCCTGCCTGAAAGAAAGATGGCTGTTGGTAGCTCTATGCTTTATGGGAGCATTTGGTGGGGATGCAGGCCCAAATGCCACCGTCTAAGGATGGAAAAGTAGCAAAAAGTTAAAAAACTACATCCATCCTTCAGGACCTACCGCACACTGTTGGGCGAACAGACAAGTTTAGGCCAAACCAAAAACGACGAGAGTTTCGTAATCTCCAAAACACTCTCAAGTCTTAACCGATGGTCTATAGGAAGGACAACGGAACCTTCATTTTCTTGTCTTGACATAAAATTCACGATAACTATGTCTTAAACTAGAAAACTCCCGTACAAAATAAGTTCAAGATTCACAAGTAATCTATCATATAATTGCCTTTTGCAGTCCATGAATAGACTACATTAACAAATGCAAAGAAAAATGACCTTTTGTCATACGGCTGACCCCTAAGTTAGTTACGTATGTTTGTCCATCTAATCATAATCTAGGTATATCTATAAGTTTTTGAAGTCATAATTAAGGAGATCAAAACAAGACAATAAGATTGACTATTGAGCTGATTGTGTTTTAAGTATTCATGGGACGACGTAGAAGCGCCGAGTTAACGAGTCACTACCATTTAAATATAGTGACATTATTATAATTTATGTAGGACATATGGCTAGGCCATTTAGGTCCAGGTTTAAAAATGGTAGGCAAAAGGTAAATCTTCTTTTTGGTCATTGATTAACTGATAAACACATCTTAATAAATTGATCCAGCACTAATTTCGTGACTGCTGCTTCTGAAGAGTTTTAAGACATGGTAGATCTTTGCATGTGACCTTCCTCTACCGCGTATTTGGTAGAAAAATCACTTTTATTTAGTTTCCAGAGCAGTTAAACGCTCCGAAACTACCTGCAAGCTATTACGGAAAAAGCTTTGAATCTCACGAATCCCCATTACCTAGCACATGATTTACGTTTTTCTCCTGTCAAATTTAGATCAGATCTAAGCAATGGTCTGCATTGCAATGACATAATTATTGACTTTGTATAGGAATATCTGATGTGCATACGTGCAAGATTTTTTTCACTCATTAATAATTATAGGAAAAAAGAAACAACTTATAGTTCTTTTATACAATATGCTATTTTGTTTTGTTTTTTTTTTTTAAATGGCATTTCTGGAAATTTAATTAAAGAGCAGGGGTAATAAGAAAATGGCATTCCCTTTTATCTGCTCAAGTGATTACCCTTCCCACACACTGCATACGCACACGAGAAAAGAAAAGAAAAGATTTTTATTTCATAGACAAACCTGTGTTTATATCATTGCCTTCCTCCAAACCTTTCCCGTCCGATTCCATCCCGCAAAAATTATTTGCCCTTTTTAGCACTCAATCAATGTCTCTTTCTCTCTCATATTGCAAAAGGTGCATAATATAATCCTCTCTTTACTCTCATTTCTCTCTTTTAGGCCTTAGGGTTCTCCTCTGGTTCTCTCCTCTCCCTCATATCAACTACCCAAAGAAACAGACACCCACAAACTCTACCATTCTTTTTTTATATGATCAACATTTTTTCTCCTTTTCCCCTCCACAATCCCAAAAAGATTTTGATTCGTATCCAGAAAATCAAGAAATTTTCACTTTTTTTTATCCTCACAGCATCTTTTATTTCCCTATTTATTTTGTCCATTTCCTGTTCTCTCCCCACCATCATCACACCGAAAAATCAAGAAACCATGAAGGTGCACCCATTACCCAAGAAGAGAAACAACATAACAATCCAATTCTACGATCAAAGAGAAGACCCTTTACTATCATCTTCAGGTCGATCCCAGAACAAGAAACTTAGGAGGCTACCCCACATATTTAGCCGGGTTTTGGAACTCCCCTTCCGGTCAGATGCTGATGTGTCTGTTGAGGAAAGTCCTGATTGCTTCCGATTTGTGGCCGAAACCGATAATAACATCGGTGAAGTGAGGGCCCACACCGTTGAAATTTACCCTGGAGTTACAAAAATTGTGATTAGGCCAAATGGGTATCTAGAATTATCTTCTCTTGATGATTTGGAGTTGGATATGTGGAGGTTCCGGTTGCCGGAAACGACGAGGCCGGAGCTTGCGAGTGCGGTTCTTGCCGACGGAGAGTTGATTGTGACGGTGCCAAAAGGAGAGGAAGTAGAGGAGGAAGGGAGTGGTAATAATAACAATGGGGAGTTTAGAGGAGGTATGGGAAATAATAATAATAATAATAATGCTAGGCTTGTGCTTGTACAATGATATGATAATGGTAAAATCCACTGCTTTCTAGCTGTCTTTTTTTGTTATTTAAATGAATGGTGTTGTGTATGTTAGTTTTTTTTTTTTTTTTTCCCTTTCTTTTAAGGTCGGTGGTTGGGACTAGGATTTGTATGCTCACTTTGTTATTGATGATCAATGAATCAACCAAGGTTTCTCCTTTTTCTATTGTGTGTGTGGATAATATGGTTGCAGTAGCACTGAATATGGAAGTTTGAGACTGTAGTTAGTTCATTATGTTTTGGCATGCTCAGGTACTAAATGGTTTTCATTTTGATTTCAGTGTTAGTATTAGTGAGAACTTTTAATGAGTGTTTGGTTTTTGAGCATTGTAAATTGCAGGTTTCTTGTTCTGTAATTCTGTGTCTTGTGTGGTTGTAGAGCAACAGAAATGGATTTTATGTGTTTTCTTTTGGTTTTTGATTGGTTTAGATTTGAATTTAGTAAATCTTTTGGTATTCTTGACCTTCATGCTTGTCCCACAGCTTCTGGAAGTTAGATTTTTGAGGTAGTTGACGGTTGGGACCGGGATTTGTATGCTTACTCACTGTTGTTATTGATTATTAATGAATCAGTTAAGGTTCTTCTCTTTTTTTTTTTTTTTTTCTTTTGTGTGTGTGGATAATGAGTGTGATAGTAGTAGAATTGGATTTGGAAAGTACGAGACTTTAGTTAGTTTTATTATGTTTTGGCATTTTCAGGTACTAAATGGTTTTTCATTTTGATTCAGTGTTAATACAATATGATCGGAGGGAATGACCCATCCATATAGCCAACCCCAACTAGTTTGGGATTGAGGCTTGATTGTTGTTGTTGTTGTTGTTATTAGTATTAATGAGAACTTTGGTTGGGTATTTGGACTTGGTTTTTAAGCATCATAGCTCAGGTGTTTTTTTTTTTTTTATTATTTCTATTTCATGTGGATTTAGAGCATGAGAGGAGAAGACATGGATGGTACATGTGAAATTGCGTTTCGTTTATGTTAGATTAAGAATTGAACTGAGTATTTCATTTGGTATTCTTGGCCTCCATGTTCATATAAAATTTTATACCTGTGTTCAGATCTTATAGCTTCTGCTTTGTGACTCAGAAGATAGCCCCTTCCATATATGTATTCTTTCCCATTTCTCATACCATTTTCGGGTAATTAGCTGCATATAATTGGTAGCAACGTTTCTTTGATGGTCTATAAGGCCTAGCACCAATGGTGCGAAACATGCTTGCATTTGTGAAGTCATTGTAAATTAAAAGCATAATTCCATGCTTCAATTGGTCCTGGGTGGTTGAGATTTTGGAATATATGTCTTCTCATCCACGTAGAGCCTCCATTTGTCTTGTAGTTTAGCACTTTAATATGCCGCCTGCTGCTGCTGGAATTTCAATTTCTTGTAAAGGAATGGTAAATTATGTCATCTTTTGAGACCTTTTAGTTCACTTGGTTCTTTTTTACTGCGTGAAAACTCTTTTTCTCTAACTCTGATTCTCTGTATAACTTTTAAAGAGTAACGATCACCTTTAGCTCTATTTATATGCCTGGTTGACAAGGCAATCCACTTTGTATGATGTCTTTACTCGTATAAGATTTCCCTATTCGATCAAGTGCGCTTTTATACTTCATCGCGATCTTCCTTTTTAACATTTTTTTATAATTATCCCGTTAGACTAAATTAACTAATGGATTTATTATGACGTTCTAAAGCTGTAACCTTTTCTTTTGTGGCAAACACGTATAAGGAGCATCAAAATCTTGTAGAAGCTGCACAGCATCTTCCCTTCTCTTTCTGTTTTAAAGCAAGAGATAAGAGAGTAGTTTTCTTTGGAGTCCCTTGATGGTGCACACAACACAAGTAATGGGGGCTAAAATGCCCTTCTGGTTGCCACGCATCACAAGAAACAATTGGTGGTCCTATGTGACCGAAGAAATGACTGTCGTTTATGAAGACTAGGTTGGGTGGATCATAATAATTGTATCCTGCCTTCGCTGCATGTCAGTGGCTCATCAAATTGCGGCTTGGAATTCCATCTCTTTGAAAAGTCGAATATTATGATCATGTATGGGCTTGTGATGTCAATAATTGTTGAAAGGTAAGCTGAAACGTTTGTTCTTGTATGGGGCGATAAAATTTGCACATATCCACACCTCCTTTTTGGATTAATTAGAATTCTTATGAAAGTGTCCACTTTTAAGAATCTCCTGCCATGTGCCTACACAAGCTTCTCCCCATGGCCGCGACACTGCTTCTAACGATCGCCATCAGATATCCAGCCCTTCATAGCATAAAAAACGGTCAACATTTTTCTGTGGACGCGGATTCATGCTTGTGGCCGTCGTATTCTCTCTTAAATGATCAAAGTCAAGGTGAAATATAATTTTTTTTGAGCAAATCATAATCAAGACAAGCCTATCGCCGTATTCTTACCTATTTGGTTTTCATGTAGTACTGCCGATTTATTAACGAGGAGACAATTCAGATTACTCCTCGGAACTCACCTTCATAGATTCTGATCACAGCAATTGGCATCCTTGAATAAATGATTTGGTTCAGTAAAGAATTGAAAACCAGAATCCATACTGAAATGTGAGGATTTTATTTTGCGTACCTTTTAATTTATTAACAGGATAGTTAAAAATTTTAGAATTTCATTTAATGGTTTTTAAGAATTGAAACTTAAAAGATATGAGGTGGGAATTTGAGAATTGAGAAAGACTATCCAACGAACTGCCAAAAATCTTAAGTTAATTTAAAGATAATGTCCCAATGGGTTATCAGACTTCGGTGATTTTTATTATAAATTATCATGTAACAAAGGGAGAAATTTAGGGATGGGTAAAACGCGTACAGTGAAGGACTATATATATATATATATATTGATTTAGTGGACCCCGCATGCAGATCCTACAAAATTCTTCAAACAAAACTTGCCTTCTCTTAAGTTGTGAATGGTTTTTTTTTTTTTTTTTTTTTTTTCAGGAGGTTAAAACTAGTCGCTCTCATTTCGAGATTTAAATAATAATTAATTAGTCTTTATATTTTAAAATCTACTGAAAATTTAATTTTTTTATTTTTAAAAATAAAAAAAATAATTTGATGAGAAAATAAGAGATTTATAAAATAAAAATAATATTAAATTAAACATAATCAACATTAATTAAAAGACTAAATAATAATTTTTGAAATAAAAGAAAAATTAATTTATTTATTTCTTGAAACCAGAGGGACTAATTTATAATTTACTGGGTTAAAAATTTGGAGTATAAATGTTTAAAAAATAATATTTCAAAATAAAATGTTAAATAGCTTTGGTGTAAGTTTAAAAGAAAATGAGTAATGTTAGGTATATAAAAAATTAAATCATATCATCAATTAAATTATATATATAAAGAAAAGGGTTTCAAATACAAGGTTTAATATAGATGAAGAAAGATCTAAGGGTTAAATTGAGGATAATTACGCACGACGGACTGCTCCTTGTAATTCACTTTCCTTTGATCAGCTCCTCTTTGATGGAATGACAATGGATGAATACCGATTTATTAATTTAATTTTTTATTACATTTATAAAAATATTATTTATTAAAAATTATTATATAAATCTTTATCCAATTCATAAGTAGCACACATTAATTTACATGTTCATTTAATATCTATTTAAAACTTACTAAAAACAATTTATCAAAAATATTTATTTTAATCTATATAGATTTTCAGGAAAAGATCATTAAAATTTAATTTGTTTGCATTTTAGTCATTTTTATCCTTAGTTTTTTTAAAAAAATATTTTGATCATTAATTTTAAAAGTTTATGCAATTATATTCCTACATGTTAATAAAAAATTAAAATAAATTAATAAATATTCATAAGTTAAAGAATGGATACTCATACTCTAAAACCATATTAGAGAATAAATTAATAGCCATTAAACATTTTTAATGATTACTTATTGAATTGAATAAAACAAATATCCATTTTATAACCATCCCTACCTAGAACAAAAAAAGAAATGAAATAAAAGTATAATAAAAAAAATCGAGCTCTCTCTAGAAACCCATATCAAGATGGGCTTCAGGCTAACATTACAGAATTTACCAGTAAATGTTAATATGGTAGTTGCAGATATCCCATCCTCAATGTCTAGACATGTGTGTTTATTCACTGCAGTATTTCCAAATCCCTTTGGTCAAATCTACAAATCTTAAGGGAGTGTTTACTTCTCATTTTATATCATACTTTGTTTGATACAGCATTAAACTGAATCACTGTGTTAATTCAGTTTCAAGGCACCAAGTTCACTTGAATCACCCACATTTTATCCTTCGTATAGTTGGACACTAAATTTCCTCCCTAACAAAACTAAAATCTTCTGAGTATGTGCCCATTCACATGTCCAAAAATATACAGCTGATCAGATCAAGTATGAATACAGCGCCAGCAAAATTTGATGATGAACCTCTGACAAAGACTAACCTTATTTCTCAACTTCCAAACCAAAATGTTCCTTAAGAATATCTTTTGCCGTCCTTCCAAATCCATTGGCCACTTCTTTCATATCCTTGAGTTTCGTCTCTTCCCGCTTTATCTGATCCACCCTGCTCAATACAGCACTCAGCAAAGCATCTGGGTTGGCTTTCAACGTGCGACGTGCCAATTCAGACCTCTCTTTGTCCAACTGCTGGTAAAGGTTCTGAAGATATTTCTTTTGAGCATAAAGTCGTTCCTCTGCAAATTTGTACTCAGCTTCCTGTGCAACCCGTAGTGCCTGGAGAACTTGATTGATCTCGTCCTCAAGTTTAAGAGATACAGTCTGGCTATCAGCAGACATAGACACATCTGGCGAGCTCATTCTATAGTCCAGAAGGTCTTGATGATTATTAACTTCCAGCATGGCATTTCCATTGGGAGAGATGGCTGTGAACCAATGAGATAAACATGTTAAATAATGAGATAGAGAGAAAATCTGACCCACCACAAGCAAAACTCAATGACGAGAGCTCCCAAATACATTACCCAAAAAAATCATACAAGCTGAAATGAATAAAGAAAAGAAAAGATAAATTAAAGTCATGTGCACATTGTGTCTTGACATCCGTGGAAAAGACCAACCATTTATGAGCACCTCTCTCCCCCATAGCAGAGATGTTTACATAGCTCCTTCAAACAACAATACAGTTAATAGCCATCAGATCAAGAGACAAACTCCAAACATCTACAATCTCTTCTTCAATAGCAAATCTGAAAAAGCAATCAACCAAGACAAGTTCACTTCTTCCCTCAACAAAACTTCCTTAGTAGCAAAATCACCAATGCACAAAAACTTCCAATTTCATCACATAAACCCAAGATCCCACCACCACAGCTATCTTTCTATCCTCAGCACTTCCTTTCCCCACATTTTTTTCCTATTTCTTCAAACATCTTGCACTTTTACTGTACTAGTTATGACTTAAAGATCATAACGTTTAACAACCAATTTTTTTTTTTTTTAATTAAGGAAAAACAAGAAAGCATAAATAAACAACAGGAAGACAAGTTAAAGGTGAGAGGTTACATCATCCATAATAGCTATCGTCTACAAAATAAAAATTCATGGTAAAACATATCTACCTCTAAAGAAATCTATTCCCCCCCCCCCCCCAACAACAAAAAAAAAGAAAAAAAGAAAAAAAAAGATGATATAACACCCAAATTTTTGTGTATTGTGATAGAGCTCTGGACCAGTGATTTGTTGTTAGTTAGTCATCAGAACTAAAGGCTTTGGACCATATAGCTCCTCCATAATTCAATCTGAAATCGTTGTGTACAACAACTAAAACCATTGCACCTCCAATGTGGTGATCTATCCAAAGAATCCTTCACAAATAAATTACTGCCAATCCAATATTTGGAAATAATCATGAAAGGCAATTATATTTTTCGAAGACCCTGCATGAATTACTTGTTAAAACTATCTTTTCTGACAACTCCTCGGTGTTGATTATGCCCAATGGAATTGCTCCATCAAAAATCATATCTTAGGAACCAAAGTGCATTATTCAAAAACTATTAACTCACCAATAGAATGTTGTTGCCAGAAGGAAAACTATTTTGAATGTGACAGATTAAACAAAACATTACCAGGCAAAATGGCTGAGACTTCCTCTTCCATTTTCCAGATATCTTCGAGAGCAGTCCCACATTTAAGCTGATGTCAATACCAAATCGTCATACTACTGATGGTTTTAGCAACCCCGATGTGGGACAATGTTAAACTTTCTAAAAAGCATAAAAGTCACAAATTTTTTTGCCTTGAGAACACCAGCTTTACCTTTGTGATGGCTGCCTCTATGCATTTCCGCAATCCCTTTGCATCAGCTCTCTGTGAACCTCGCAAAACGCAGAAGCCAAGATTTAATATTTTCTCTATTTCGTCCTGGGAATTAACAGTTTTGCAAGTTTGCAAAAGACTTTTAACATGTGGCACTAGGTCTGTCCTCGCATCACAGCGCCGACAGTAATACTCAGCATCCAGACCGATGCTTCCTCCCAATGTACCAGCCATATATGATCGAAGAGCACAATTTATGTGAGCAACATGGCCACACATATGATGCTCGTCCACAGGTGCTTCACATTTTATGTAGCTGTAACCTCCATGTTTTGGGCTAATAGTTTTGCAACAAAGGATACAACAACAATAACCACAGAAATCAGGTTCGCTGCAACAAATATCACAAGGCATGGCAGCTAAGGGTTGATTTTCTGTTTGTAACCCAAGACTGGTGCACATCTTATTCCCAGCCTTACAACCCACACCATCATACTGGGAATCAGACACAGAAAGTTCTGCAGTCTCTTCAGAAGGTATAGGGGAAAAAAAGTGCCCCTCCACATTACCTGCATCGTTAAATGATTGAAGAATAAAAACTTTTCCAAGCTTACATGCCTGTTAGGAATAAACTACCAAACAAACGAGCACCTTGAATAGCTGTAAGGAAGTTATCATGCAGGTTTGGCAAATACAGTAAAAAATTTAAAAAATTACAACTAAAAGACTATCCTAACCTATCTCAAATATTGCAAGTTCAAATCTCAAGTAGCATAATATGAGAGAAGATACTGCAAAACAACCAGCAACCACATAACAGTTTTAGATGTGCACTCATCAAATAAAGCATGTGCATCGCAAATTCACAACTTCAATTTAAGCTCCCTTTTGGTCAAGCTTTGAGCTGCCATGACTGGCAAGTTGAAATATTGATATCAAACTCAAGGAAAAAACAAACAACTTCGTCGCCCTTCAATAAGGTCAAGATAGCATTAGATTTTTAATGGCATACTACTTTTTTTTTTTTTTAGCTTTTAAGTATTGGATGAAGGGATAAGTTTTAAAAAGCCATTTCTCAAAGAAAAATCCACTCAACTGATGCAGTGATTGGATAATTTTAGGAAAGCTGAAATCACAAACTCAATTAGTCAGTTCCAGCTAGAGCATCTTGAATTCAGCCTGGTCAAAAGGAGCTGTGATCTATGCATATTAATTCAAGGCCTTGATCAATTGAATTACTAGACTACTAGTATTTCTTTTTAATTTTTTTCTTTTTTTGAAGCAGCAGTTTGAACTTAATATGAGCCAATAATACATAGTATTCACAACCTCAATATGTAAAATCACTAGTTCTGCAAAAAGTATCATAGAAAGAACAAATGATATAAACTCATGAAAAAATTCTGACGTTAATTTATAGCTCTAACCAAAATAATAATAATAATAATCAAACTCAAGATGGTACATATAGAACATCTGGAGACAAAATGGTATTAAATGTAACTAACCATTTATTGAGGATTGCTTTGATGGGATCTTCCAGCTGAATGAAGCAAAAAATTTACCAATGTCTGCATTGGGAAATACAGATCGGATATATCGCTCAACTGAAAGCTTGCTGGCAAAACCATGTTTCTTACGTGTCGTATTCTCAAGATGACAAAGACGACTTGGAAGATAAAGGTATCTATCCAAATAATGGCCAGTAATAGCAACTCGCCTCCCAACCCTCCAAGTCCAAGTATCACCAGGATTTGGCCAATCCTCAGGAGCATATGGCAAACCTTCACCACACTCATCAGGTGCAACTGGCCTTAGACTCAAAATATTTTCCGTTGCCCTAGGCGTGCTTCTATTACTTTCCTTATCAATCTCCATTAATTCCATTTTCAGCTCCGAAAGATCAGGTGGCTGAGTGAGATATATTGAACGCAGAATAAACATGTATCAGCAAATAAAGGACTAACACACATTAAATTGAGAAGGAATTGATGGAGTTGCTATAAACCCCACCCCTAAAGAAAAAAGGATTTAATAAATTCAACTTTGTTGGTTCAATATCAACTTTAATACCAACTCAAAAGCAAATAATATAATTTGATAAATATATGAAAAAATGTTCTCCAAGGAACTTGTATTTTATAATAAAAGCAATAAATGCAAGCTGGTAATCAATTATAATGGAGTGCCACCTTTGGAGCCAAATAAGCACTAAACATCAGGCAAATCCATTCAGACATCAAACAATCAATAAAATAGTGCCAAATAGCCACAGCAGCTCAGCAAAAGAACTCCCAAATTCTGGTGAGCCATTGGGTGGGTAGGTTTCACTTGGGATTGATCACAAGAATTGGGGAGTCAATTCAATGATCCCCAGTCAGGGATTTCTGTTTATTCCAATCAACATCATAGGATTTCTATGTCGATTGCAATATCATCAGGTTTGCATGCAGACCGCTGCCACAGAAATTTAAGTGAACATATCACAAAATGTAAATTAATCTCTCCCAGACTCGATTCCCTTTTTCTTTTCTTGCCAAAAAAATTACTTAAGATAGGGATTTCTCCAGCTATTTGCAATCATAATTATATTAGGTTCGGCGCAATAAAAACAACCAAAAAATGCAAATGCCACAATTACACTTTCACAAAATAACAATTTACTCTCCTGATTTTAGAATAACCTATAATTATTTCCCTGTTTGCATCAAATAATAATAATAATAATATATACATATAAAAAAAAAAGTCATATTCTGATATAAAATTTCATCTAACACAGCATAACAAAGTGATCGGCATCTCAACAGAATTAGGGAGAGATAATCAAGGTTTCAACAGCCTATAGATAGTTTTGTTTTTCTCTCCAATAATATAAGAACTGATATACATAAATTAATAGCAGGTGATTTCAATACTTCAAGAAAACAAATCTTGAAAACAGAAACAAGAGAACATATCTTGATTCTATAAAACAATCACAGTAACAGAGAAAACAGAACAAATAAAAGCAGAAAAAGAAAAATAGTTCCATTGGGCATTTATCTTATTATTCTGTATAGTTACTGCCAAACAGGCACGAAGATATATTTGTTTGTGCACAAATTAGCAATGCAGATTCGAGATTTCACCAAATTGTTTAACATAATCCGAATGGAAGTAATAATCAGTCTGCCACTTGCATCTCTAAATCACGCACTAATTTAATATAAAAAATGTATAAAAAAAAAGTAAATAAAAAAGGATTCAAAGCTTCACCTAAAAGAAAAGGAGTCTCTGTAGGAAGAGAAGAGAGAGTTTAGGGTTTCGAGTCCCGTAAAATCACCAGAAGACGGAGATTGGATTCGAGGAGAAGAGAGAACGTAATTTTTTATGCTTCGAGAGAAAAACAAAAATGAATTTAGAGATAAGAACATACCGAATATTTAATGATTGGAGAAACAATTTGATTCACAGAATTAATCGAGAAAACAAAAATCCAGAGATACGAGCCCTGGTAAAACCCTCGGAACTACGGGCCAGAGAGAGAGAGAGAGCCAGGAAAGAGAGATTTTAATGTTAACTTGTTCACTCACTGAGTCATTGGACTAAACAGAAGCCGTCGAAGATTTTTTAAATGACAGTTCTACCCTTCTAATTTTTTTTCACAAAAAAAATTAAAGGTAAAACTTTTTTTTTTTTTCCACCCTGTTTCTTCAGCAATGTTGCACTCCGGCCTCTTAGTTTTTTTTTCTTTTTTTAAGTGTCAATCTTGATCTGCCAATCGGGTCGGCTACCTCATTTCGGATTTGGATTGTGTCCGCAATGGATTTTTGACCTAACCCTATCCAGGTGGAATCCAATCAATCCACGTATTTGAGAATTTTTAAATGTATCATGACTTCATATTTCATAACCGTCTCAATAGATGTAAATAAAGTGTGAAATCCACTATATGTTTTACTGTAGAGGAAAATAGAAAATTTATACAAATATTCTGATTAACTAGGTCAACTATTTCCTACAATAAAACTAAAAAATATGAAAATATCCATATATATAAAGATTGTGTTTAATACAAAATATCTTATAATAATGATAAAATATTTTGAAATAATGATCGAATATTTTGTATTAATTATAAAATAAATTTCGTTATTACTCCTCAAATTGGAGTATGCACATTGAAAATGTTCAACTTATGTATCAAGGTATGAATGTGATCACGTCCAACAGTTTTGGTAAAAATATCGATCGACTAGTACTCGGTAAAAATCAAGCAAGGTACTGATAGCTTGGATGGAACTCGTTGCCAAACTAAGTGACAATCAATCTCAATATGTTTAGTGCGTTCATAAAAAACGAGATTGACGGCAATATAAAGAGCAACTAGAATGTCACAAAAGAGAGAAACGGAACTAGGATGAGCAATGCCCGGATCGTAAAGTAAGCGCACAAGTCAAACTATCTCACTAGCAGTGGTTGTCATTACCTTATATTTGACTTCGGTCGTCGAACAGGAGACAAAGGATAGTTTCTTGGATCGCTAAAAAATTAGAAAGGATTTTAAAAACATTATATAACTAGTGACTCAACTAATTATACATATATGAATAAATAATTAAAGCAAGTGTTTACCTTTTATAGCACATAAACGATTTATATGGAAAGATGATGTCCAAGTGTCCGACCACTCGTTAATAATCCACACGAACTTATGTAACACCCCCAACCTAGGACTTAAAAGGTTGAGAATATTATCGTTGTTAACCTACATTCGAAGTGCAATGAATACAAGCTAACAAGGCACTCGTGACTTAATGTCTAGAGTGAAATCTATGTATTAGAAATTTAATATTGGTCGGATAGGTCATATACTTTAACTTAAAAGATGTTATAAATTTTTTGCGTTTGATCTATTTACTCGGGTACTTGAAACTCGGATCCGAGGTTATTTGTTAATTCAAATCCTTTCTTTACTAACGATTGTAATTCATTGAGATGTAATTCCTTGTTATCAATTATTATTATATTACTTATTCTCTTTCATAGTTACTATTCTTTTTATTTAACGATTAATTAAGAAATTCTCTTAAATATTCAAGGATGCTAGCATGCGAGTGGATAATTTAAAGTAACTACACTACTATCGATATACTATCATTTTACGATGAGTGTTTCGGTTCTAACTATATTATTTTAAAGTACTACACTTACGTGTTCATTGCTTCTAATATAATATAACACAGTCCAACTAATTCTAGAATATGCAAGTCAATAGCTAGTACTCGTACATAAAATTACAAGTAGTATGTCCACTGGATCCCGAAGCCCCATCCAAGGTATAACTATCCGGTGCATTCCTTAGAAATCAGCTTCATAGAGAAGTAAGCCATAGTATCTTATTTATTTACACCACAAGGAACTATATGAGCTACGACCTAGTAAATTAACGTATGCATGTAGTGTGCATACATGTAGATGTATGTATAAAATATTGATATTTATGTAAGAAATCCTTTTTCTTATGTCATAAAACATCTCATAAATAGTCCGAAAATCCTTTTTCTATCTTTGGACATGTCCCATTTAGGTACTTCGGGGTTTCCATAACATATTGTCGACGAACCCGACTTGTCCACGGACGTGCCCTACCGTGCACGTCTACACTTGTCCGATCCCGAACCATTACCATCACCGTATGGAAAACCCATGAAATCCTTTCCTCAAAACCTCAAAGTCATGAAAATATTTTCCTTTAAAATCATTCGATTGCTATCGGATAACCATGACATAAAATATATTTTCATGACTTAAATCATTATTCATGAGCTAAGCATACGTATGCAATTGCGATGAACCAGTAAGTCGTATGAATTCATGAATGCTTACTTAGAATGGTTATGTAACCAAGTCATAAGAATTGATATAATATTAGGCAAGCATCACAAGCATAGATAACATCAATCCAAAATAAAGCAACACAGTCATCATTAGCACATCAATCATCATAACTCAATTCTCATCATCAATCACATTCAAGCATAACCATTATTCATAACCTAATGCATTCATATAGCATTTGAAAGAACATAACCATAACATAAAGAAAGATTAACATTTTTGTTTCATTTCTTTGTTCATTAAACTTACTTTTCACTTTACTTTCCTAAATTCTTTTCCTTAGGTTCTTATTTATCTTTCCATATTTGGTCTTTACCAAATTAAGTATCACCTCATGTTCCAACCTAACTAGGTATTATTTCATTGATTTAGGAGGTTCATTTTGGTTTGGGCCTTAATGGGCCTAAGGCCTAATTTTTCCTAACCCAAGTTTTCTTTATGATCCTGTTTCATTCTAAACCATCCTTTTACTGTGTTTTGAGTCCGAATCATCAAATTTAAGGTTTAAAACTTGGTTTAAACCTAATTCTCCAAAATTCTCCTTTAGGCCTAAACTTGACCTCTTTAAAATCCTAACATTTTCTCCTCATTTTGCCTCACCATTTTAACACGAAATAGCCTAGATATGTAAAAACTATAGAAATTAATTTAATTGAAATTTGGGATTCGAAATCTTGCCTAAACCCGTATTGGGCCTTAATAGGTTGAAATTGGGCCTAAGTCCATATAACCCATTTTCTTCAATTTTTAGTAAATTTTTCATTTCTACTCATCAAAACATGCTTATTTAAGTATGAATGAAACATCAAACCAGAATCAAATTGCTTTGAACTAAAACCCTAATTTGCTTAGTTTAGGTCGAATATAATTCCTAAAAATTAGTGGATTCTTCTTCAATCAAAGTATAATTTTTCATTCCTAGACATTAATTCATGCTCAAATAAGTCGAATCAAGTACCAAAACACCAATTAAATGAAAATAATTCAAAACCCCCAAATGTGGTTCATCAAGAACCCTAACCCTAATTTTTCTTAATTGAGCAATTAAATCAAATCAAGCA